GGCAAAATCCTTTCAATAGCGCATTTAAGGCCCGAGAAGATACACAATTTCCAGGATCTCTTAGAACAGCTCAAAAAAGATTGAAACAAGCTGGCTTAAAAAACTGTGCTGCTAAGCTATTTTAATACTTAATTGCAGAGCCATTAGCTGCCACAACCCTTTGCAACCTTCTTGGCATGGACATTATTAGCTCACGCATGTCGTATGACTCAGCAAGCTCATCCCAATAATTTTCAACAGCACTCCATAGTTCATCTCGGTTTGCTGGCCTAAAGTCCCGTTGATATATATTTTTAACTATAAAACCCCTCACGTTTTCAATGGGGTTTAAGTCAGGGCTTCTAGCTGGCCATGGCAAAACAGTTATGTGGTTGTTGTTTACCCACTCTGTAATCACGCGAGCTGTGTGAACTGGTGCATTGTCCTGTAATATAATATTTATTAGAATCGTTTTTGAATACTATACAGTTTTCTTACATGTTGGAATATAAAGTTTTCTGGAAACACATGTCTAACTGAAGGTAGCATAACGTTGTCCAAAATCCTCGTATAGTGCTCAGGCGTTAATCTACCATCAATTTCCCAACATACTCCCGGACCATGGATGCTTATCCACGCCCAAACATTTATGGAAAAGCGTCCACTATTTAAGGTTCTTAATGTATAGTTCTCCTAAAATCTTGCGTTTCTTGGACGATATACACGCAGCCTTCCATTATTGCAAGATTGGAACGTTTTTTCATCCGAAAATATAACCATTATAACATTATTCCAAAAATTGTCTCCATAATTTAAATAGTCATTGGCGAACTTTACTCTCCTGCGCTTATTTTCGTCAGTTAAAAAAACCTTATGAGCAGCAGCACAGTTTTTTAAACCAGCTTGTTTCAATATTTTTTGAGCTGTTCGAAGAGATCCTGGAAATTGTGTATCTTCTCGGGCCTTACCTGCGCTATTGAAAGAATTTTGCCTAATATGTGCGACAAGAGCATTGTCTTCATTTTTGTTGAAGATTTTTCCTACACCTTGCCTGATAGGTCTTCTCATAGATAACAAAGCCTTCATAATCTTTGTTGTTCTTGCCAACGTTTTTTGATATAAAATATGCAGCTTTTACTGACATTTAAATCTGCAGCTATAGTATACTTCACTTAAAGACCAATTTTCTTCTAATTTGGCTATTGCCCTGGACCTCTGAGCCTCGGTTAAGTGGGGTGGCATTTTTAATATTGCAATTGACAACTATTATCAAATTTGACAACGACCGAAGACACTGATGCAAAGCCCATATTACACGATTAAATTTTGCCGTTCACATTTCGGGGACGCCAATTGTACCTATAACTTTTTTAGCTAGGTAACCTTATTTTTTTGTTGTGTTGTTGGTTGGCATGCTTGTGCAATGTGTATGATGTCGATGTTGTTAGACAAAAATTAAAACAGTGGTAATTGGAATCACATTTAATAGTATATTATGTATCAAGTTTTATTAGGCACGAGCGAAGCTTGCGAGCGAGTGTTAAATAAAAACGAGGGTCTAGAGAAGTTTATAAAACGAGTTGCATACTACTTTATCTACGACGAACACAAAGAAGAATTTAAAGCCAATTTTTTCCGTAATTTATAATAAAGCTAACTTCAGCCCCGTGCCTAAAATGCCCAAAAGTCACTATTGCCAACTTTATCCTGTGACTAAAACGCCATAAAGTCACATCAATTGTTTGAACAATTTTGAACGGCATTTTTGGAAAAACAAAACCGGCCGACACCAAATAAAACCCCCATTACATCATGCAATGCTGGTTGCCCATTTTGTAAGTTTTATGGAAGAAAATATTAAAGCCAAATTGTTTTAAAACATCTATTTTATTGCTATTAGGCATTAAAAATTTCAATGTTATCCTAAATATCGCCATTTTATACCAAAAACGTTTAATAGGTTTTATAAAACATTAAATCTATACCAAAGTGTTTTAAAGCGGATATTATTAGGATAAATCTGCCTTAAAGAAGTATTTTTTGGCGTAAAGAAAAGTACCATACACTGAAAGAAATTTATGTTTCATATATGGACTACCACATACATTGCTAAAACAAACATATAATATATTTACCTTAACCATTTTTATATTTAGTTTTAACATATTATGTTAAACCTAAATATAATATATGTTTGTTTTAGCAATGTATGTGGTAGTCCATATATGAACCACAAACATTGCTAAAACAAACATATATTTCTTTCAGTGTACGACAAAAAAGTTATAAGAAATGCAACTTGGTTTTATCCGGTTTTATTTACTAACCAGTGTTACCAGATGAATTTCAGTAGTTTTCGACCAAAAATTACAAATTACCCGATTTTACCCACAAGAGTAAAAAAATAGTTTTCTTTTAAAAATTGTTGGCACATTCGCCCTATTTAAAAAAAAATTACAATTTAAAAACTCTGCATAAGCCTATTTATCTCACAATAAAAAATATTGAGTAACACCTTTTTGAATTACGGACTACAATTGCATGATGCACCAATCAAAATATTTTAATCGTAATTAACGTAATCTTCAAAATTTTTAATAATCAGATTAACTTTTTGGCAATACTGCCGCAAGTATGACGAAATTTCCCGATTTTCTGGTAAAATACCCACAAGCGGCAACACTGCACTGGCAAAGAATTTTTAAATGTGGAAGTGTATAAGATACCAACGTTCATGAAGCCGAATATTAATTAATAAATATTAAAGTTTTACGTATTTATTCACAAGAAGTTTAACAGAATTACAATATTCGCACTTTCAAAATGTTTTTTGTTTTTTTTATGACTCCATACCTATAGCATTATGATCCGCAATATTATCTATGTCCTTAGTTACGGTATCTTAACCACAATGGCATTTTCCTTATAAACTCATAAAAATATCTCTGTATTAACAGCTTAAAACGTAATAAACATCATCTTATTTCTATTATGTTATTGGCTATGCAAGTAAAAACATTTTTTTGTATATGTAGGTATATTATATTTTAGGTTAATTTTTCTTATTTTCATTTCACTTAAGTTTTTATGTGGCCTGTTAAAAATTAAGAGCTATCTCAGTTACCTTTAACAAAAAACCGGTGTTCGTTGGGAAATTATAAGCGTGAAACCCTGCACTAAAGCCAAATATATTTATCAATAACTCATTACGTATCGGAAAACATGGCGTTTGCATTTTTGCAGTTAGTGGGATCCATTTTTAATTCGGTAGACCCACTACCAATGTAAAAATTATTAAAACTTTGTTAAAACAATATTAAAATAAATGACAATAAAAATGTACTCCTTTAAAACTATATTAAATCAATGAGTCTTATTGTTGACTTTATGAGGACATTTCGGTCTTATTTAAAAATATTAAGGGTTATGTTATTTAGTTTTATGGATGGTTTAAAAATACTCACCGGACTGTTTTGCTTAAAGCCAAATTGTTTTAACTAATTCTTAAAATTTACTCCTAAGAACCTTCATAGGATTCTCCCTTTTATACTTAAAATAGACTTAAAGCAGTCCTATGACTATCTTGCGGATAATTAGGTTTTATCAATATCCAGAAAAAAGGGTTTTAAAGCTTTCCTGTATTACCTAATAAAACCTAAATTGTTACTTTTAATAGTCAAATGCAGAGATTGTGCTTACGTAGCCATTGCTGCTCCTAGAGTGTGTTCCAATTTCACTGTTGCATCAGTACTGGATAAATTACAAACCAGCCCTTTTTCGCTACTGAGAGGATATTACGGAACATAACATGCATCTGTCATTGACAGACTTGATAACAAAGTTTTTACGTGATAACGCCATTAGCGAAAAAGGGCTGGTTTGTAATTTATTTTCACCTTGCTAAATTGTTTAAATAATTATGGTGTACACATTACAAGAACGGGTTGAGTTTCTATTACCAAAATCAAAATTGCGCTCTAGGGTGTTCAACGAAAATCAACCCGATCGCAATGCCCACTAATACATCGGAGAATTAATCTCAAAATTTGTTGAAACTGGTTCAGTTTCCAATAAAAAAACAGGCTTCCAAATCCAGCTTATGCCAAATACGCAGTCGATACGGCAAATATCTGCAGCTTCCGGCGTGAGCAGCAATAACGTGTTTAGAATTAAATGATGACGATTTCGATAGAAGACAGGAATTCTGCGAAATCATGATCGACCGTCTTATATCTGCAGGTATTAGAGTGATACAAATCGTCATTTATACCGGGAAGTTTATAATCAACATCCGCAGAAGTTGAATGTTTGATCAGGAATCTTTAGAGACAATTTAATTGGCCTTTGTTTATTAAAGGTAACTAGAGCGGCAAATTGATGCAAAATAAAATTGATGAACCCACACTTTGGAAGATGATCCATCGCTCGCTGAACTGGAGTAGCATTTCCAACAAGACTCTCCAGTTCGTCCGCACCTAGATATGCGATATCCTGAACGTTGGATTGGACGGAGAGGTCCTGTAGAGTGGCGTGCCCGGTCACCTGACTAAGTCCACTCGATTTTTTTCTGTGGGAATACATCAAGTCGAATGTTTTCGCGACACAACATGCGTTTTTGGACGAACTACGTCAACGGATTGTAACAGAGCCGTCAAATAACTCCAGCGTAATGTGAGGGAGGGTTTTAAAACCAGGCTTTATTATTGCATTTCAACATTTGACCTAAATATTAAGAGTTTTTTATTATAAAAGGTAATAAATAAATAATTTGTATACCTATGCTTGGATAAAGAATGAAAAGAGCTATCAATTGATACGACTGCCCCCCTTTTTATATCTAAAATTTGTCGGCAATTGGTTAATGTGCGCAAGCGCAAGCCTAATTTCAAAAAGTCTCCCCTTTCGAACTAAAATCGACGTGTCTTGGCTTTTGCCACTAATTTAAACAGCAGCTTAGTGTTTCGTTTTTAGATCAAACACACTTAGATATAGATTAATTGTTATTATTTATAAATTTTTAGACTCAAGATTCTGAAAACTCCCCAAAACGGCGTAAAAATCCCCGTCGTCCTTACAGACGTTTCCATATTGACTACTCCTTGATGGTTAGCAATATAGAGCGAAATGTTCGTGTCCGAGATTTAAAGAATGCCCTTATTAAACACGGTATCAAGCCAGACGACATCACCTGGAAAGGGTACAAAGGCTTTTGCTATCTGCACTACGCCAAACCCACCAATAAGGCAACGGATAAAGAAAACGAGTCTCAAAAACCATTTTCGGTGGATAACGTGATTGATATACTTCAATCGTTGAAGTTGACTTCGGATTCCCAGTTCGAAGTCAAAGTTATGGAGCCCATCACCAGAATTGAAACCACGGATGTTACTTCCGTGTAAATACCACTTAAGTTACATTTCTTCATTTTTCATATAGTACAAAAATTGTTTAGTTCCTTTAATTTGAGAAAATATTTTGTTTAGTAATAAATGCCATTATCTATTTTATATACTTTTTCAATAAAATATGGTTTTCTAATAAAATTGTTTTCGTTATACTTACCCAATCAAACAATGGTAAAATATTTTAGAAAATGTCGAAAAAGGTCACCAAACAATTGGTCCACATATTGCATGTAACTAAATGAGACCGCGTATGTGATGTAGAGCACATTATGAAATTAGTCCAAGTTTGATGATGATTCTGTTTGTTTTGTCTGTTGCCGCTGTTTTGCCGGGTTTATTAGACTGCGATGGCTTGGTTAGCGTTAGAAAAAATCAAGTTTTGGAGATCAAAAAGCATTTGAAGAGATTACGGAAAGAAGAGGGTGCAATTAAGCTTGTAGGGGGTAGGGGCGAATTTGAAGGTAAGTATCAAATAACTAAACTAAATATAAAAATTCTAATATAATAACTCTTTTTTTTGTTAATATGCATATATGTTGGTGTTTTAAGGAAACCAATGTTTTTTTTTTTCGATGTAACGTAAAAATTTCTTATGACAAAATAAAAATTCAGTAAAAATATTAACTCTTAATTTATTCTAAATAAAATTATATATTTTAAATCAGCAGACAGTTTTTTCTCTAGAAGTTATATTCCCAAAATTTTTAAGTTTTTTTTTTAAATTACTGATAGGACATTATTTTAGCTCAATAATAAATAATAAAAATTAAAGAAACATGTTAAGTCGTTAAATTGTTTTTAGACGCCTTATAGAAAGACTTGTATACAGAGTGTATTATAACAATGTGGCAAACATTTAGGATATGATTTCTAAACAAATTTAAAAAAATCGAATATATACAGGGTCCAGTTTCTATTCTAACTTTACCATAAGGTAAAATTATGATAAACTATGTATTTTGCTTGTTCTACTGGATATTAAAGTTTTAATATTTGTTAAAGTTTTCTTTGATACAAAATTAATTTAATTTGGTATGCATTTTTATCTAAAAAAAACTTAAGTTTAAATAATTTATTTCCTTTAGTTTTAAGATCATACAATATTTATACGGAGAATCCTAAAAAATGTTTAACACCTTGTATCTTAAAAATGAAGCTATGTTTTATTTACCTTTATTTTTAAAAATAAACTATGGGCTGGTAAAATTCTGATGGTATACATTGGTTCGCAATAAATGCTTTCTTTTTAAAACAACCCTGTTAAACTTTAAAAAAATATGTTTTTGTAATTTGACTTTGTATATTCAATTAAATTTAGTATGATTTCAGTTTATAATAATTTAAAACATCCTATTTTTGGGTTTAAGATTAAACTTGCTTTGTTACTGTTTTTGTTAAAATATTAAGAACGCTGAGGGTTTTATTATATTTTATATTTATTTTTTTAGGCCAAAGATTATAAGCTTATTTCTAATAATTTAAAAATGGTTATATATTTTAAAATAAAATTTTGCACATGCTCAATTTTAATAATAGCTTATATTTTAAAATTTTATTTTATTTCCTAAAAAGCAATTGTTAGGACTTTTCTCAGAAATTATGTTTAAAAAAATATATTTTTCGCCCTTAATGAAATTTTTTATTTTTTTAAAATTTAATACACACGTTTTATATTTTTAAAATTTTACCCATATTAAAAATTTATTTTATAAACCAAACTTAGTAAAATCCATTATAATGCATTTGAAATTTGTCACCAATTAAAAAGTATTTAAATCATTTACATTACACTCATAGATGTGCCCTTGACAAATATTTATTATATCACAATTGTGAGACTTATTTTTAGCATTTTTAATTCATGTCATATGTTAATTATAGCATTATTTATTATCTAATGTGATCAAATGACACACTTATGCAATATATAAAATTAAAAAAAGGTCTAGACTTTTTAAATTATTAATTTAGGAAATGTTGAAATTCTGCACAATGGGACATGGGGGGCGATTTGCGATGACGAGTGGGACACAGCAGAGGCCCAAATAATTTGCAAACAGCTGGGTTATGATAATGGAATTGCAGAACCAACGGTTAACTCATATTTTGGACCTGCTAAACGTAATGCAATAAAATAACATATTTTAAAAGTGCGAATAAAAATAATGTATTGCCTAGGTCGTTACTGGATGGACAACATTTACTGCAGTGGAACAGAACATGAAATTCATTCATGTAGATTTGACGGTTGGGGGGAAAATGATTGTTCTAAAACTGAAGCAGCAGGAGTTATATGCGTAGATCAAGACAAGATTATAAAAGTTGATTCTTCCAATGAAGTTGAGAAAGTGAAATCATCAATGTATGCATTTTTTTCTTAAAAACTATAACATAATATTTCTTTATAATTTTAGTGTTAAAATACCTAAAGTTTCTAAGATAAGATTGAGAAATGGTAGAATTGATACCGAGGGTCGTGTGGAAATTAAAAGCAATAATGGTAAATGGGAAGTTATGTGTGGGGATGGCTGGTCTCTATTAGAAGCAATGATTGTTTGCAAAATGTTAAATTTAGGTAAATATAAATAATTTTTTAATCAATATTTATTTTAATATTCATTTTGTTCCAACAAAAATAATGTATTAGTCAAAGCCAAAACTGGCTAATATCAGATGTCCTAAGTAAGCATGCAGGAAAGATTTACACTGTTTCTTAAGGATCTGAATTTTTTATTCCTGGTGAAACAAAGCGGAGGAAGCCACCACTCAATTTGTTACAATTTAGCACTTTAGTAACACTAAAAGGGATTTACGAAAATTTACCTGTTATTATTTTTTTCCAAATGAAATACTAAAATGAATGGGCTATTACGTTTAAAAATATACATATATGTATAGGGATGACGCTTAGCGGTTACTGGGTGGGTCAACTTGTAAAAGAAACTAATAAAAATAAGGCTTTTCATGCCAAATCGGCCGCGAAAAACGGACATGAGTCAAGCCACGTCAAGTGGGACCAGAAAATTTCACGAAATCACAGATTTTGAAAATAATCACATTATTTTGTAGTAGGCATGACGCATATGTCACAGTAAATTTGTTTGCAAATTCGGTTTTTTATTAATGTTATTAAAGTTAATAATTTTGTAAAACTTTTACACATTATTGTAGCAATGTTTAGACTATAGAATGATCATTTAATTAAGGTAAATTTGTTTAAATAAAAGAATTTTGCATACATTTATTATAAACAATTGAAATTTTGTATGTGTTGGGGTGCGTTCATAAAGGAAATCTGATTATAGGGTGTTTATCTCGTGTGTAATGTGAGTTTTGCGCGGAGTGTTCCTAGGGTGCTGGGTGGTTTTTGAACGCCTGACATTTCGATTGTCACAATTTGCGTTTTTGACGTCAAAGTTAACCTCATGGAAGCAGCTATATTTTGTTCCAGTTTGGGCGTCCAAACATTATTTGAAATTCCAATTGCTTTTTCTGATGCAGACGACGAAAGTAGTAGCGATAACGATGAAGTTATGTTAATGGTTACTCGGAGTAGAAAGTTAAAGAAACCACTACGTATTCAAAACTATCTGACAACTATAAATTGTTTCATATAATATTCAATGCCCAACTTGGCTACCGCTACCGCTGCCTCTACCGTTACCTTTAGAACTATAAATACCGTACGGGAATCTATAAACAGTACTACGGTATTGTTGATCTTTTACGACAGGAAGGAAGGAAATCTATAAATCAGGCTTTATGCTTAAATTAATTAATCTGGATAGAATTAAGTTAATTTTGTCCAGATACTTGGATTAAAAATTATGTTACAATTATCGATTATGTTACATATAATTTTCAAGCTTTGTTTTTAGAAAAATTTATGTTACAATTCGATAATTATGTTACAAGTGGCAACACTGAAGTCGTGTGAAAAACGCCGGTGTTGTAGAAGCGGTAATTTTCGAACACTCCGAGTGTAGAACTAGGTATTTTATGAACGGTTACACAAAATGTGCACAACGCATAAAATCCGTTTATGAACGACCTTGTGTGCTGGAGTTTACCCCGAGCGTTCTTTATGAACGCACTCCTGTTCACGCTGAAAAAAATTAATCTTGTGTCATAATATGAGGCAAACGTTTCCGTTTAATAAGATGTACTCAAAAATTTGTCTTTCATATGTCATTCCGGAGATATTAATTGTTTTGTCCCGCTGTGCGCTTGATCAGTACGCGGCGCGCTTCGTTGCTAGCTCGTCCGTTCTAACGTTTTAACGGTGCGCCTGAACCAAGTTTAAGTCACATACAAATGCCGCCAAAAACTGATTGTAGTTTCTTGTTCGGGACCCTTTGGTAACTTAAAAATGATATTTACCAAAGTCCTAGCTGGTCCTCTTTTCGAAATTTTTCGAAAATTCATGAATTTTGTTTATCTCAAAGTCTACCTTTGACTGAGTACACATTTGTACACCGATTTTTATAAAATTGGAGTATATTATTTAGGAGACTTAGAGAATAATTTTTAATACTGTTTACATCATTTGATATATACAGGGTTAGCCAAAAATCACTTATTTTTAATAAAGCAAAAGCGTAAATTCATGATTTTAGCATAACACCCGAAAAATATTTATCCCCAATTTTGTTTTAGATATTTCTACGTCTATCAGGTTACAAAATGGCATTATTATTAACCTTTTACAAGAAAAATAGATTTTTAATAAAATTTAATAAAATAACGCTTAGAGAATAGTTTAAAATGTTGTTTAATTTAGGCTTTTTAGTAGTTTTCAATTTTGAACGAAAAATTGGTTGAAGTTTTTTGATTGGCACTCTTTGGTGATTTAAAAAAGAAATTTACCAAAATTTTAACTGCTTTTTTTTTAAATTTGTAAAAAATTCAACTTTTTTAAAATTATTTGTTTATCGCAAAGTCTACCTTTGCCAGAGTACACATTTGTACACCGATATTATAAACGAGAGAAACTGTTTTTATACTGAGCACATCATTAGATTTATACAGGGTTAGACAAAAATCACTTTTTTATATGGGTGAATATCCAAAACGGGGATAAATTGGGGTGGTAAAAAAATAAAAAGAAAAGATTAATAAAACACTAGCAAAATAATACCTCAATGTGTATTTCTTAATAACATAAAGTAATTTCAAGGCGGCTATAAATTAAACTTAGTACTTTTCTATTATTTAACAAAAAATAAATAAGTCCATGGAGTTGACGTTCTGAACCATGGAGTTGACACAATAACATAAAAACAACATAAATCTAACCTTGTACTTGTACTTTAATATACTATTAATACTTTTATTTAAATAGAATAATATTATTCTTAAAAAATGCAAATAAAGGAAACAAAATTCGATCTTTCAACTGCCGGATATCCGGCTATCCAGCTTCGATTCTTGCCGAATATTCGGGATCCGGTGTCTGGAGAAACAACTATCCATTTAATCTCTATATGTATATGCTGTATATAGTTATAATAATAATACTATTAGAGAATTTTTTTAAAGAAAAATTAAATTAAATTCATTATAATTTATCTATATATTATTAATTATCGTTAATAATGCCTTAACTTATATGAGCTAAGAGTTTAGGGCAATAATAAGAAAGTAAACAACTCCATGGACATACCTTTTAACTCCATGGAGTTGATGTCCATGGAGTTGATGTTTTTATAGTTAAAGTCGCAAACTTTAGAAAATGGTACATAATGTATCTTTAGTTAACTGTAATTTAAGCAAAGCATATTTAGTTATTTCACCTGGAGAAAGTTTAAATTTCAATTGTATTTAAATCCCTTTGTTATTAAAGACATGGAGTTGATCTTTAATAAAAATACTTACCCGTTTTTTCGCAAATAATTGTTCTTTATAAATTTTTATTAAATATTACACCCCCTTTGCCTTGCTTACACAAATCAACACTAAATCACTCAAACGACGAAGTCTTCAAACATTACTAAAATACGTTTTATACAGGGGATTTATCATATATTAAAAGACTGCAAAGAAATGGTGTCTCATGCTTTATTCGACATTTTAGGTTAAAATATCAATAAGTTTGCTTTTGGTTGTGTTTTTTTATACATTTCAAGTTAGAGGAAATGCAATATGAAAGAATCATTTCACAATTGCATCTAGTCTAATAGTATATGGATGATTTGTTGTCCCTACGCTAGGTGGTGACAGTCCATGGAGTTAATTTAAAGCGTTTAAGCAAATTCAAATTAATCAAATAAATAATGTTTTATTTTTTTGGTTTAGTACGTTCTACTGCTATACATAAACTGTCTATTGTAGTGTTATTTAAATGCTAACTACTTTCATTAGTATATTTTATTTAAGAGTTTCAGCATATTTGCTCCGTTCTGGAGAATCATGATTGGGTGCACCCATATAGTAAAAAGCATAATGCATAAAAAAGATTTTTTAAAAAATTTGAAAAGAGGAGCAGCTAGGATTTTGATAAATATCATTTTTAAGTCGCCCTAAGGGTCCCGAACAAGAAACTGCAATTAGTTTTTGACAGCATTTTTATGTGACTTAAACCTCGTTCAGGCACACCGTTTGCTGACGAGCTAGCAGCGAAGTGCGTACTGATCAAGCGCACAGCGGGACAAAAAAATTAATATCTCCGGAATGACATATGAAGGACAAATTTTTGATTACATTTTATTAAACAAGAACGTTTGGCTCATATTATGAAACAAGATTAATTTGTTTTCAGCGTGAAGAATACATACAAAATTTTAATTGTTTATAATAAATGTATGCAAAATTCTTTTATTTAAACAAATTAACCTTAATTAAATGATCATTATATAGTTTAAACATTTCTACAATAGTGTGTAAAATTTAATTAAATTATGCAGAGTGGTCCCAGAGATTCTATTTTTTCAATTTTACCGTGCTCTAAAGTTTGACAAAATTTTTAACCTTAATAACATTACCAAAAAAACGAATTTTAAAACAATTTTTTTACTGTGACATATGAGTCATGCCTACTACACAATAATGTGAATATTTTCAAAATCAGTGATTTTGTGAAATTTTCTGGTCCCACTTGACGTGGCTTGACTCACATGACACATAGGGCCGGTTTTTCAATCGTTGGTTAAGTTTATCTTACGGTTAATTTCCTTAGATACAATTGTTAACACAATAGTATCTAAGAAAGTTAACCGTAAGATAAACGTAACCAACGATTGAAAAACCGGCCCATAGTGTCCGATTTGCTTTAAATTAACTGGGGAAAAAATACAAAAAATAAAAAATTGACTTTTGAACTAGAATTAATATGAAAATTATATTATGTTTGAAAAAAAACTATATTCGACATGATTGTGATTTTTTTCATTTTATTAATTAATTAAGCTGTGTTGAATAATTGCCAATGGGCCATTAATTCATTTGTTCGTAGATGCTACAATAACCTGCACTGGTGTATACTTTTTGATCAAGCAGATTTAAATATTTCTGTACTAACATAAAACTACTACTGGAGATGTGCAGAGTCTACCAACAGACCTCATTACTAAATTATTAAAGTTTAATAGCATATCGATCATTTATTCAACATAACCTCTGAAATTTTTAATACAAATATAGCTACTTTATATAATACATAAATATACTTTACATCATATCCTCTGTGCTTTACAAACCTGAGTTGTTACGGTAAATAAAAATCGGACAAAGGAACCAAAGAAAGGAGAAATGAGAATATTCAAACTACTTGCATCCATCAAAATATCAAAACTTCTTGCAATATTGAATTACACCCTCTTTTTATACTCTCAGAAATATTGACTAGAACAGTATTAGAGAGACTCCAGTTTCTATAACTTGGTAGAGTAAAGAGAAGTCGAAACCTTTGCGATATTGCATTGCGCTGTTTCTGTATAATTCTCGGGGACATCATTGCCAGTAAAATTCAAAAAGCTTGAGTTTCTATGCCTTTGAAGAGAATAGGAATCCGAAGTTTCTGCACCATTGGGCTGAACCCTTTTTCAATAATTTCTAGAGACATAAATGAACATATGACCATTCGACAGGGTCGAGTTTCTACCTCTCTGTTGAATATAGAAAATCAAAATAATGTATCTTGTAAGAGGCAAAAAATATAAAAACAAAGCACAATTTAATATAGTTCTGATAAAACTTTAAGATTTAGTATTCAAACGGGGTGTCATCCTATACAGTTCTATATTTTTCCGTTTGCTGTGTACCTGCAAAAAAGGATGCGAGTGAGTTCTAACACGTCCGTGCTTCAACAGCGATAGCGATAATTATTCTGAACTACTAACACAGAACCTACGCGTGCCCATAGTGAGCGTTCGATGTCAAGGAACAACTTACAGCACTGTCAAGCATCAAACACCCAAACTACAAATCTGCTTAAACCAGTAATATTACCTAAATCTTAATCAAATTTTGAAACCGCAACTAACAAAGAACCCCATCTGGTAAGCAAATAAGTCGCCAACAGTTTCCAAAAAAAAGTCAAAAATCATAAACCTACAAAAAGCATTCAGAGCATTCCCCAAAAACATATAGACAAGCTACAACCCACATTCATAAATCTGAATAATACCAGCATTGTTTACTAATAAAATGTTATTTTCATAAATAATTTTTACTACTTAAATAGCTAAATTAGACAATTTAAGATAAGTCCCAATCTTTGACTATTTCTTAAAGAGAACGATAACTAATTCTCTAATCATTTTTAATTCTTTCGACCAACAACATTGGTAGAGTTAAAAGCAGGTAGGCTCCATGGTTAAATGGCCCATAAAAACAAAGTTAAGCTGAAAACAGCAACACAAAAAAATTAACTTTAAATTTATAGACAAAATAACTGAATTTATAAAAGTAGTAAAACATCCGTCTGGGTCAAAACTTTTTAAAATTAAATCCACCAATTTCATTCGGTATAATTTGTTGTTGTTGTTCCTTGTTACCATGGACTCGCGTCGTGAGACGGCCGCCCAAAAAAAAGTGCTCAATAAAAGGTGTGCAATTTGACACGTCTGGATTATTCCATGCCTTTTATAGTGGTGCTCATTTTAACGTCCAATGATTTCAGCATCCATCCATCGTTGGACTACAATTGTCCGTCAAAACACGTGCACACATATAGGTTATCTAACCTTAAAATTTGTATGAGTATGAGTATGGGAACGTATGGCAGGCCCCAGATATATTATCATCCACTGATCTCCCGGGGTTATTTTACCCCCTTTCCGTTCTCCTGCGTATCCCGCCAAATCACAGCATTTCCTGTGTTTGTTGGATCCGAAGTTTTTACGCCGGCTGGAAGATCCACCCTAGGAGTTCGTGGATGACAGTGTCAAAGGTTAAGGCCGCTCCCGGGATTTTTGTCAGCCGGGTCGGGCCATACGTCCAGTTTAGGAAGGGTTTTTGGAGGACATTGAACTGACCCAAAACTAAGTACAATCCGGAATCCTCCTGAACCTAGGCCTTAGTAGTACCCCCATTCAATTGGTATTCGTGAATGGGGGGTGGGTATGTTAGTTATTTGCTTACTCCTATCTTTGTTGGTTTACTTCCGGTTCGTCAGTTTCTGTGTCGGTCTCCGGGTCGGCATGTGCCCAGTATTTTAGTTGTGCCACCCTGACACCTTTGGTGATTGTTTTTCCTTCTAGGAGGACTCTGGGCGATATATCTTGTCAGTACACGGAGAGAAAAATTTTCCCAAAATAACCATCCAAAGCACCGTCAAACGACGCATCGCGAAATCAGTCACTGTCCCACTAAACCGCGGATCCGTATGTCTAAATTAGCTATACAGATCCTCAGCCCAATAAAACAGCTGACCAAACCCACGATACGTCATCCAACAATACCCCGGATAGCCATTTCGGCAAAATTCCTCTCTCCGTGTACGCCCCTGTTCGTGATGTATTTCGATTGCGACGTTAAATATGTCCGATGCTGATATTGTTTCCAAACCCAGCCAGAAGCCGTTTTGTGCGTGGTCCTTTAGGTACGCCTCTGTTTTACGTTCCCTGTCGTTATTATGCGCGTAGCGGTGGGGTTGGTCAAGGATCGCATCCTGTAAGTATGGGCTGTATGTCTCAATGTGTGTTCGTAAGTGGTTATTTAGTCATTGTCTTAAAGCGTATGTACTTGTTGACCCAGTCAGGCTATTATCTAGTTTATGTAATGATTTGAGTGTTGTCTGTCTCAATAGGAATGTTTATTTGCTGGGGCTTGAAATTTACTTTTCGGTATATAATACGTTTTACTTTAGATTTTTTGGAATAAAATGTTTTTTTTTAATAAGACATGCAGTTAGAAAAATTACTTAGCTTGATTATTAGGCTATAATCCTGATGCTAGGTCTTTCACGGTCTGTCCGTTATTTCTGGACCTCCCTGCAGGTTATTGACAGGCTTTGGTTGTGACTATCCCTGCTGACCAGTTGGACCGGTTGGCCTTAATTACTTATTCAGTTTCACACTTTCCGCACTTGATTGTTTATTTATTTATTTATTTATTACCGATTACCGATATTTCCGAATACTTAGGTTCGTTTTTGGAACTTTATTACGTTTCTCTAGTATACGCTGCTAGGAGAGGAATCTTTAACTACTTGACGCGTCTATCCACTTCGAGTGTCAAGGCAATACCTTAAAATTATTATTATTTATTATTTATTTATTACCGATTACCGATATTTCCGAATACTTAGGTTCGTTTTTGGAACTTTATTACGTTTCTCTAGTATACGCTGCTAGGAGAGGAATCTTTAACTACTTGACGCGTCTATCCACTTCGAGTGTCAAGGCAATACCTTAAAATTTATATGTTCATATAAATTTCTCCATTCCTTCAAAAAAGAACAAAACGAGGAATATTATCTAGGACTAGAATCCGATTTTGTCCTCCCTGAGTCAAAGTCAACTATATTTCACACTTTTTTATGGAGCTAAGCACGAGCGATGCGCTTCTCACCGAGGATAAAATCGAACTACGCTATAATTTGTCTAAATATTAGTGACTGCCTTTCGCTATGACAATAAGTCAATATCTATAACGAGTCATTTTGGCTTATTTATTTTAAGAGAGTGGGTTTATATACTTGAAAAAGGACAACTTTGGTTATATGTTAAACAAATATTAGAAATATTCCGAAACACAAAAACAAATCACAAAGTGCTTAATAGTATATTATGTATCAAGTTTGATAAACGCCATTTTACACACGAATTTAATTTAGTCACGAGCGAGCTTGCGAGCGAGTTCTTAAATTAATTAGTGTATAGAAAAGTTTATAAACGAGGTGCATACTATACTTTTTCTACGACAAATACTTATTATTATCTTAAAATTAAATTAAAAATTTGTATAGAGCGCCATCTATGAAAAAACAGGGGAAACTGTTAAATGTCACATTTTTACATTTTATTAACAAAATTATAAAGGTTATAAATCGAAATGTATATTGAAAATTGACAGTTTTTCACAGTGAAAGTAAAGGAAATGTTTTATGAGGACTTTACAGTAGAGTCCGTGCCCGAATTTAAGTTATAGTTTACTGCCGGCGAAATTAAAAGGTCAGTACAATGTTCATATAAACTTTTCAAATATTGGCGTTGAGAAACTATTTAATATTTTTGTATTGAGATAATAAAATAATTTTCACATTTAGTAATAATAATAATAATAAACATCTTTATTGGTTTCCCAACAGGCTATCGGCCGTGGTCTTTCTGCCCCCACATTTAGTATTATTTTACAAGAAAGGCACTTTATTTTAACGATTGTATGACATTTGACCACTGTCAACTAACTTAAATCTAACTTCAGCCCGTGACTAAAAACCTGTTGCTAACTTCAGCTCGTGACTAAAGCGCCGTAAAGCCACAACCCTCAAAATATGAAGCAAATCGGAGACATATCAGTTTTTAGATTTGGCATGGAAAGCCCCATATATTATATGACCTTTATGACTTATATAAGTCGAATTTCTAAAATTAATATTTTATAATACCAATACAATTTTAGGAAAATGTCAGCGCTAAGCAGATGCAGACTTTTTAAAAAAGAATACAGCAGGATTTTTAGTAACAAAAATATTTTTTTTTCAAATGTAGGCTACGCAAACGATGCAATGCAAACCGACTACTTCGGAGGAAACCTTACCTCAGAAAGCATGGCTGGAGTTAAATGCCTTGGCAACGAAAACTCTTTATCCCAGTGCACTCACGACGCAGACCTCACAGGAAAATGCAAAAGCAAAGACGTAGCGGCCGTATCGTGCACCCCAACCATGGCAGATCTAGTCCTGGACCACATAGATCTCATGAGAACAGCTCACCTGGAAGACAAGCAGATGTTTTTCCTGACATGCGCAATGGAAGAAAACTGCGTTGCTTCTTCGGCGTACGAGATACAGAGAGAAAACAATGCATGGCATCTGGAAACAAGGAGATTGCTAAGGTTTACAGCGAGGACTTTCAATGCTGGAACTGCCGATTTTAGACCGATCATTCCTAAGAATATGTGGGAATGGCATATGTGTCACATGTAAGTATAGAGTCACAAAATGGAACTTTGTGGTACTCATTTTAAGAAATTTTATTGTATTAAATTAAATTATTTTTAGGCATTATCACAGCATGGAGGTTTTTGCCACTTTTGATATCTACAATGAAAAAAACGAAAGAGTTGCAGAAGGCCACAAGGCATCATTTTGCTTGGAAGATAACCAATGTTTACCAGGCGTAAAACCAAGATTTGCGTGTGCAAATTTTGGTGACCAAGGAATTTCAGTAAATTGTTCAGATATTTACAAGTACACAGTCGATTGTCAATGGGTTGATATTTCCGATTTGGAACCAGGAAAATACACGATGAAAGTGGCAATTAATCCAGAATTTAAAATTCCCGAAATGAGTTACGATAACAACGCAGCTGTTTGTGATTTTTTGTACACCGAGACGTTTGGTTCTGTAACTAACTGCACTGTTGTAAGACCCTAGTAGTAATTTTCGTAGTTTAATATAATTTTTAATGATAAAATTCGTTTTATTTTATGACTTTTAAAATAAGGAAACAAACATTGTATACAGCCTGAGAAAAAATTAGGCTTGACAATTAAAGAAAATGGACGCGTAACGCCTATTTCATACAGGCGTAGTGAAGTGTGCCGAAAGTGAACCAAAAAATGACGTCGCTTCAAGGTGGTACCAAGTTTGTTTTGTGTGTTTTTTACAGAACTTAACGCACGAAGCTGATTGATAAAACTTCTGTTACTTTACTTTATATCTGTTGTTTTGACCCTTCGAAGTTTTGAAGTTTGCACTTCTACATGACCTAGAAATGTGCTGGAATTCTTGAATTCGACGCCATTTTTGGTTCACATTCAACTAAAATATAAAAATCGCCATAAAACCAAATGGTCTTTTTTTTATTTTTTACTGATAAAATTTGTTTTATTTTAAATTAGGTACTTTCTTTTTAATAAGGAAACAAATAAACAGGGCCCCCACATGGGGGAGATCACTGGTAATTTAGTAGGGGCCCGCCCTGGCGAAAATGAAATGTGCAAAAAGTGTGCAAAATTATTTGAGAACAATGTGCCAACAATGTGCAATCTTTTAAAAAAATGATGTGCGGAGGGTGGGAAATGGAACAGGAAACAATGTGCAAAACCAAAAATTTAAAAGTGTGAATAATCACTGGACAATGTTCTAAAGGGAACTCCTTTTGATTTTTCACATTGTTTGCACACTGTTTCTTGCCACCTGTGTGCCTATTACAAAAACAGATTCTTTTTGGTGACCTATAAAGTCTTTTAAATTTACACATAATTGAAATAAAAATATCCTTATATAATAATAATAATAATAATAATAATAATACTTAATGCTTTATTGAACTAAAACCAAGTTCAAAGGCTATTACCGAAGTCCTACAGCCGATGAATTTACAATAAATTTTGATATAAGTATAATTATACTTATATCAAAATTTAAATATAACATTTAACAGTATAATCATAACATTTATAAAATCAAGGTACTTATTTAACAAAAAAAATAAAAATGCACATCTAGCGTTATGGAGCATTATGGAATTTTATTACTTTCTCCATGGTGGTTTCTACTGGATGTTTGTATGTAGATTCGCGATTTTCTCGTTCTATGCAGTAATTATTAAGTATTTCGAAATTAATGTCTTTTTTGCTGAACTTTTCTGCCAACATGTTAATTCTTTCTTCTATTGGTTGAATTTTTGTTGTTGTATAGAGTAGGATATTTGAGGGGTTAAATAAAGGATTGTTAGGGTGGCGGGTTTTGTGATTGTTCGTAGGGAAGTTGTTTCTGATGTCTTTAGGTTCTGCATAGCTGGTCTTTTGCAATTTAGAAATAGGATAAATCCGTACTCAATGATGGCCCGGGCCTGCAGATCATTTTGTATATTTTTGTGCTTGTTTCCATACTAATGCCTGAGTTTTTGTATGTTAAACTTCTAAAATGTTTGGACCTTGTAATTATTTTCTTTTTTAAAAGTTTAGTATGGCTGTTAAAGTTTAATTTTGGATCTAGCGTTATTCCTAAATATTTAACTGCTGGTGATGCTTGGAGTATATGATTATTTAATGAAATTGTTGGTGAGTTATGGGAAATGTTATGGTTGAAAATGATCATTTGCGTTTTATTTGCATTGATTTTAAGCCTCCATTTATTAATAGTTATTTATGTATTAAGGGCATAATAAGGTTTTTATGGTCCGAGGCGCTATTTCGAGCCCGAGCGCGTTAGCGAAAACCAGTTATGCCAGGAATGCATACAAAACTTTATGCACGATTAATATATTATTATTTTTAATATATTATTGTTTTTAAAGACGTTTACGTCAAAGAATTTTTGTTATAATTGTCATATTATAATGTCAACTGACATCAGTCAGTTTTAAAGTTTAAAGATGAATGAAATTGAGGAAGCAGCTGAAAAGGCGAAAAATTGCGGCCTGCTGCCGGAAAAATCAAAATCTTTATACAAAAAAACTTACTTCGAATATAGCAAATGGTGTAACATTGTTGTTTTTAATTTTTGACGTTTCATTATAGCCCGCTGGGTCATAATAACGCCCGCGGGCTATAAAAAGACGTTTACGTCAAAGAATTTTTGTTATAATTGTCATATTATAATGTCATCGTGCATAAACCGGTTTATGGCCATTTTATAGTTATGTTTGTCAATTCTTGCAATTTTTGTTTAACTATCTCCAAGGTTTGGCCGTGTGTTATTAGAGCGGTGTCGTCGGCAAATTGCAGCATGTAGGACGTATGAGAGAAGTAATGTATGTCTTCAAATCGGTGATGGTAGATGTCAGCGCAATAAACATTATATAAAAAAGGTGAAAGTGGAGATCCTTGGGGTAGCCCTTGTTGAGTAACAAATGAATTGGAGAAGTCATTGCCAATTTTAACCCTTAATTCTCGCTTTTCTAGAAGTAGGCGTACTATATTAATAAGGTGAATGGGGCAGTCCATTAGATGTAGTTTATACAACAATCCTTTAATCCAAACACTATCAAAGGCCTTGCTTATATCCAAAAAAACAGCGGCAGATTTAAATTTGTTTAATTTGGATGTTTCCACATTGTTTAGTAGAATTGTAAGCGGATGGATGGTTGACATATGAGGTTTAAATCCAAATTGATCTCCAGGAATTTTTTCTAGCAGTTTATGCTCTAATAATTTTTTCATAACTTTCTCAAAGTTTTTTCCAATTACTGGCAGTAGCGTAATTGGCCTATAATTATAAAATTATAAAAATCTACAAGGTATTGGTTTTGGCAGTGTAATTATGATACCTTTTTTCCATTCGTTAGGAATAATATTATGCTGATGTTTGATGCAATATTTGTAGATTTTTATTATACATATATTCGTGAATCCGGAAGTTTAGCTTTCTGAGTATGTTTCTGGTAATATTATCATGTCCCGGTGCAGAATTTTTCCCCGATTCTAGAATTTCGTAGTAATTGTCCTCTATAAATGTATCCTCATCCGAAATCGGAATCATATCATTAAAAAACAGTCTGTACCAGTCATCTACAACCCTGTAATGATTACCATCAAACCTGAAATCGTTGGTTTCCTTGTAGGCTCGTTAGAAATTTTTAGAGAAAATCTCGCACTTCTCTCGGTCAGTATTATAGGTTACCCCTTGCTCTATTATTTCGCTGTTCTTAAGTGCAGATCTTTTATATTTTGAAAGTTTCTTAATATCTTGCCAATAAGATTTGCCTTTTTTTAAATTTATTTCTCGACATACTTTTAAAAAACAATTACTCCTATATTCCCGAATCAGATTTTGAATGTTTTTATTAAAAGCGTTCATGCTAGTCTTTAAATTTGGGTCTCCTAGACTAGGAGACCCAAATTTAAAGACTAGGAGTCCTAGTTCTCTATATTCCCTATACATTTTGCGTTTTCTTTTTATAAGTTGTAATATAAACGGAGGTAATATGTAGTTGTAAAATCTTTGATTAATTTTGGGTGTATTTTGTAAAATAGAATTTGTTAGTTTAGTGTTAAATTTTGAAATTTCATTTGGGTCTAAATTTTGGGAATTATTGATATAACTTATTAGAGTCTAATTTACTTTTTTTATTTTTGTTTTTTTAAAATTATATTTTGTTATCGGGCTAGAGTTATAAGATTTTTCGGAGTCAATTTTAATTTGTAGACTTAGGTGATCCGAGCACAGATCCGGTGTGACTTCTACACTTCTAATATTACTGGAAATATTTGCTGTATACATTAACATATCAGGGGTAGTATCATTATTTAAAGGCATTAAAAAAGTTGGAGGTAAATTATATTTCAGAAATTGTGAATTTTGAAGAAAGTTGCTTATTTGTTTTTTCTTATATTTATTACCACAGTTGAAGTCTCCTATTATAATTGAATATTTATATAGACTTGCCATCACCAAAATATTTTCCTCCACTCTCAGGTTTGGATGAATGTAGGTATACTAAAAATATGTGCAACTTTTCGTCTTTAAAGGGAACAGTAAAGTGGAGACATTCATTGATAGGGTTATTTAATCTTGGTCTATTGGCCATGATAAGATCCGGATGAAGTTGTACTAGACTTCCACCTCATGTGTGATTATTGGGTTGATAACCGTCTAGTTGTAAAACTGACCAATTTTTGTAATTTGTGCTGGTGTTGCTATTGGTTTTGGATTCTACAAATAATGTGCAGTTTATGTTTTTCTCCTCAATGTACTTATTAATCAGATATTTTTTGTTGTTATAACTGTTTAGGTTGGAATATAATATATTAATCGGTTTGAATTTGCTGTATATTTACCTCGTTGTTTATAGATTCTGTTGGAGAATTTTCGCCTGTGATTAAATCGAACATTAGAATATACACTCTGCTACCGGAGAACACTGCAACTGTATCCACATTGTAATTGGCGACAAATCTTTTCCTAAGTTTTAGAATTAAATCTTCCCTATTGCTAGTTTTATCTTCGTTTAATTCGTTGGTGTAGCTGTTTATGATTAGATCGTGTAGTGTAATTGGAGAATGTATACGGGATTTTTGTATGTCTTTAGGTAACTCTTTTGATTTTTTGTTGATGGACTTAATAGGAATGTTCGGAATTCCTTCTAATGGTTGTGTAGGTCTCTTAGGGCATTGTAAAGACCATGCCTGATGTTCCAAAGAGCCACATCCAGTGCATTTTGGTGGTAACGTGGAAGTGCACTTGTTATCTGCATGTGTTGAAGCATTTTGTACATTTTCTTGGGGAGATACAATTTTCAGATGCGTGATCAAAGGATAAACATTTTTTACATGGTTGAGGGAGTGGAGCTGGATGTTTGCTTGGGTATACTAGCTGGGTAGTGACGGTATTTAAAGTAAAAACCGTGGGAGAGCAGCTTTTCGGAAGTGGAATGGGAGCTCGTAATTATTCTTATCAGATTGGTTGGTTTGCCTGTTGTCCGGGCTATTATTCTTTTACAGA